ACTGATGCTCTTCGGACATTTGTTAATATTCTTCATACAATTCCTTTGATTGTTGTTGATTCAAGGAGGGAAGTGGATGATGTGAAGGAGCTAATTATCATAGTGAAAGAGTATGTTTTGGCCCTAAAGATGGAACTGCAGAGGAGAGACATTAGGGACAATATAGCACGGCAGCAGGAGCTTGCAGCATATTTCACTCACTGCAACCTTCAGACGCCTCACCTGAGGTTAGCTTTGCAGAATGCAATGACTGTCTGCTTCAAGGCTAAGAACCTTGCCACTGCTGCTAACTTTGCCCGGAGGCTACTTGAAACAAATCCTACCATTGAAAACCAAGCTAAGGCAGCAAGGCAAGTTGTAGCTGCTGCTGAAAGAAACATGACTGATGCTACCCAGTTGAACTATGATTTCCGCAACCCATTTGTAATTTGTGGTGCAACCTACGTGCCAATCTACCGAGGACAGAAGGATGTGTCTTGCCCATATTGTACTTCACGTTTTGTGCCAACTCAGGAGGGGCAACTGTGTAATGTTTGTGATCTTGCTGTGATTGGGGCAGATGCTTCTGGCTTGCTTTGTTCACCTTCCCAGATACGCTGATTGAGCTACTGGATCAGGTCCAATGTTAAATTTTGTTTCGGGTTGGTTTTCAGCTCTAGATGAATCGTTATTAATTAGTCAGTATGTTCTTGGCACTGTGATATAAACGAGAGTTAGTCATGAGGAATTACTTTTTCACCCTTTTGCTTGCCCTTCTCTTTCCGTGAAAATGATTTTCAATGTAATAAATCCATTTCGTATCCGAGGGGGTGTTAGTTTTTCATACACAAGAATGTGAAAGGTTGTACTTAGATCAAACGATGGTTATAGGCTGTGCAAGAGTAAATTTGCGCGGTTTTATTTGGCAGAGTACATAGAATGTCTGCGTTTAGTCGGGGTTGGGTCCCTTGGTTACAAAATAATGTTTATTCGTAGTTAAGCGACACTTGATCGTTTATTTGATTCAATCCATCGAATTTACCTGCAGGTTGGTTAAGGTGACTCTCGAGAATTAATGCTATCCTCACCTTTTATTTTTATTACTAATAATTGTCTCTAGCATTTCTCAATCCAAGCATTATTGTTCAACACTTAACTCGGCTTTCTCATTAACTCTATTGTTGATGAAGGCCCAAAAAGTACAGCTTTGGAAAACATTGTAAGGAATTTGTGCTCTCTTCCTCCTTTTGCTGTCTATCAAGAGAAGGTATCTTTTCAGTTGTACACTGATTAATTATAGGAAGCTGTTTTGATAAACTTAGATATTTTATTATAAAGTGCTATAATTGTGTTGTTACAAATACTGCATATTAGGTAGAAATGTACATTGTCTATATTTGATTTTTTTTAATTAAATTATTTTGATTTGTGTGTAAGTTAGAGAAGTTCAGAGTTATTTTATTTGAGAATTTTTTTTTGTATTTAATTATAAAAATGAACTGTTTTCTTTTTCCCAATTCCTGCTTTTTAAAAATTTCTATAACCATTTTTTTATACTTTTCGTTTTCACTACTTTTTATAAAATATTATTACAATAAACATAAATTTAAAATGAAGCAACATTTTTTGGTATTAAAAGTATTTAGAAAATGTTTACCGATCAAATAGGGCACAAAACTTAACTGTTTATATAACAAAAAAGTTCGTTTAGAACTTTTTATGTCTGGGACAATAACTAAAATTTGCAAAATGAAGAAATTTAAAAAATAAACTGATTTTATGAATGTGTAAATTGTAGTTTATAATTATTATTATACTTTTCTCTTTTCTTAACCGTTTGAATAAAAAATGATTTTTTGATATATTTGTATTCATGTATAATTAATTATCTTAAAAAAATTAAATAAAAAATGTGATTATTATTGATGATATATATAATTAATCATTGAAAAAAATTAATATTTTTTACGCTATGTCGAAAACACAGCATCTTTAATGAAACTAATTTATGATATCAGTTGCATTAATTATTATTGTTTATATATCTTTTAAAGTATCCTTTTTACAGTAATTTATTTAATTTTCGAGAGATGGATTAATCCTTTTGACATTTATCTAATTATTCTGACATGTTAAAAGATAATTATTCTGACTAAAGGTCTTAGTCAGAGTATTAAATTTAAGACTAGCTCTAATAAAATAAACTCGTAGAATATGCTAGTGTGACATGATAAATATTTTAGATTTAAAATTTGAGTATTACGGAATTAAAAATAGCAACTTGTAACCAATAAAAAATTATAGAAGTGTAAAATTTGCAAGAAAGTCTTAAAAATAATGTAGCATAGTTATTAAATAAAATGGGAAGGGATATTGCGTTAAAGATATTATTATAGACAATAATTCTGATTGATGAAATTACAGTTATAAGAAAACTCAATTTAAAATTAATAATAAGAACTGTTAATTAGTGTGTGTTTTTGCATAAAAATAACATAAATTTACCTCCGGATGTACGTTCTTAGCCAATACGAGTACTAGGATGAGAAAAAAACCCTAATTTAATGGAAGAAGATTTATTTATGAGTAAAGAATGTTGTGTATCCTTTGAAGCATCCATCACCTATCTAACATGAACACAAAAGCGCATTCTTTTATGCCTAAGGTCTCCCTTACTTCTTCTCACCAGCATGACTTAGAAACTGAATGAAAGTAATTCACATAATCAGAATATCACTGTTCTTTAGATGAGACTTCAGAAGTCTAAACAAGTAATCACTGGCATAACTGAACCTCTCAGTCTATTTTTTCCCACCATAGAAGCTATGGAAATAAAACTATGCAGAAATGAATTCCTTAAATAAATAAATGAGTCCAATTGTAATTGAATGTGCAGGGAATGGGCATCTTAAAAACCTCCAACCAGCTAGTTGAAAAGAAAAAAACGACTAATTGCATACTTGACATCGGTTTGGACATGAGCATGGGTTTAAAAGAATGGAATTGAAAAAAAAAAAGAATGATAAAAGTGAAATTGTTTGAATTTTAAAAAAATTGATAGAAAATAAAATGAAAGTTTGCGAATAATATAATTGATTTAACATATTAAATAAAAATATTTTAATTGATAAAATTATAATTTTATTTTTATCTTAAAAAAATAAAAATAAAAAATAATTAATATAAATAATATTAAAATTAGATGAGTTATTATTTAAAATATAAAGATTTAAATATATAGAATTATATTAAAATCTAATAGATAAAAAATAATTTGTGGACGGCTACCTGTAAGAGCTTCATAGAATCGCGTGAGTAATGCAATGAAGAATCGGTTCCGTAAATATAAAATTTATTCTCCATGTATTCAACGTGAACAAGAATCGATTTTTGTATGTATTCAACGTGAATAAAAATTGATTCTCGTTTCATGAAACTCATAGAGAATTAATTTTTTTCACCCAAAATTAATTCTTTCCACCTCTTTCAGCCACTGATGCACATGACACATACTTTCAGCCACCACAGTAAAAACTGAACCTCACTGTAGGAAGAGAAAGTTTCACGACAAGTACCATGAAAGCTCCTCTCACAATTTTTTAGTAACAAAATGAACCTTCAGCCTGGTCCTGGTGAGAGACGAATCTTCACTTTAACTTGCTCGTAGAGGACTATATGGTGGAATAACATAATAGATGAGCACTCGATCACATTAATTTCTTGTCTCTTCTCCTCATTCTAACAGGAGACTTCATCTACTCTCTCCCTCAAATCCACATCATCGCTAGAAATAAACCTAACTCATCCAAGCTGTGAACAATAAATTACTACATACAAACACAACACTAACGAATTAAGTTCTTCGTTGACAATGAATGAAACTCATATAAAACTTGTGTACATTTTAATGGAAAGTTTTTAAGATGAAGAGAGTTATGCAAAGACAATTTTCAGCTAGAGGAAAAGTATCAACCTATACTTCGAATAAATTATGAAAATGGTGATAAGGCAATTCTCTTCCGGCTCAATTTCATCGGGATAATGTAAATAGTATGCAATTCAACTAAAAACTCAACATCATACACAATCAGATTTGTCAATACCCGACAAAAGTTATGTATTATCACTCTAGAGCTACTCTAATTTCGAAATATCAAGTTTCTAAAATGTCTGTCCTGGCTAGATTGGAAATTAAATTGGTTTGACAGTTTTTTTGACGCAAAACCAATCAAATTGAAGTTTGTATGTTCAACTACACCGTATTAAATTACATATTTTGCGGCCTTTGAATTTGGAACATGGTTATTGATACGTGAAACTGCACCAGAAGTAATGTTCAACAATTCTTGCAAAAGTAACTTCATTGTGTTTAAGATCAATAGCTTTTGTCCGCACTAGTTGATCTAAATAAAGAACATAATGATACTGCATCACAAATAAAACTTATCATGACAGATAAGCTAGACCCTCTTGGTTTTCAAGAATTTAAATAGGGTAACCTCAATTTCAAGACTTTTGATGTCTGTAACCATATCAGGCACATTATCAAGTATCACAACGAAATCAAGAACGACCATGAGAGTGACATAAATGCAATTTAAAACCTTAAATTTAACAATTAAGTTTTAAGGAGCCATATTTTAATAAATGACAATTCACTAATAGGCATGTCTTGTCCTCGGGCAATAGGTTCAGGCTCCATTTTAATCCAGGTTGGGTAGCTTTAACCATTGTAGCAAACAGCAGAGGTGATTTTTTTCATTTGAAAGTTATTATTGTGGATGGGGAACTATGTACAATGTTATAACTTAAAACTTTCAATTGAATTTAAGGAATCAGCTGCTTGGTACATACCTCTATTCTATAATATTCTTAGCTACCTATGAATTGGGACTAACGTTTGTGTGTATGTAATGCATTCTTCTATCAAACATATTCTATTCTCCGTACCTTGGTTTAGATTGATGAAAAAATTGGGAACCAGTGGGCTACCAAACAGCAATTATCTAGAGAGAAATCCCTCAAGAGCTTCCAACCTTTCCCCCGGCTACTAACCTTTTCAACCCCTCTTTCAAACCAGGGGGAAGTGCAGGACAAGAAATCAAAACATCAAGAGACCGAATCACGCCTTTCCGCACAAGCAACTGAAAAGCCGATGACACACCTTTAATCATCATACCCTTCCGTTCTACATCATAATTGTCCACAAGATGCAACAAGAACTCAAGAAGAGCATGAGTAATGTCAACATAATTGGGAACAGAATGCACCATGAGTAGAACCGCAGGCTCAATGTTCATAATATTATCCACCCTTTCATCAAAAAAGAGCCAGTCATAAAACAAAGCCAGTTTCACATTAGCCACAACATGGTTACTCCTACAAGAGGTCAAAAGCCAACCAATAAGCGCCCACCTAGGAACAATATCAGATTGAATGATCTCATTTGAAGGGTGGTGTGCACAGCATATAAACCTCACAATATCAACTATGACAAACTCTTTATCAGGCTCATTCAAAAACTTCTTAGCAAACCAAAGCTGATGCCTCTTGTGATGGCCCAACTTTATGCTTGTAAGCAAAAACCTCAATTGGGTCTCCATGTCAGGACTGATTCTAAGCAGAGAATACCTACTGGAAGTCCTGGTGAAGTAAATCTGAGAGACATCCTTAAACTGAAACCCCACAACATTAAACACACATGGATTAAACACAATGTCTTTCAATATAGCCCTAAACTCGGGAACATGAACCAAATCCTGTAACAAGCGAATAAAGTCCCTCCCAATTTTCAAACACAAGTGAAACTCTTCCCTCACAATCTTCACACACAGATGAATCTCCAACCGCTTCAAAGTCTCCAACTTTTCAACGCTAACACCCCTGCAATGATCTGTTAGAACCCTAAGAAACGTGTACAACGCGAACGACAAAACGTGGGGCGCGTCTTCCAATAAGCAGTGCCACTGTTCCAGAAAGAGGGTGACCAACCTGGAGCAGAGCCACAAATTGCCATCCCCGCAATCAGCGCCGGCGATTTGGCGCAATAGGGAGACCAAAACGGCGTCGTAGCCGATGCCCAAAACGCCGATCGTTTGATCGGTGAGCCAGACTAACTGCGTTTTGACGGAGGCGAGGAGTTTGGGGTAGAGATGATTGACGAGGTTGAGGAGGAGGTTCACGAAGGTGGCGTAGCCGTCGGTGACGAGGGCGTGCAAGTGTTTGATGTGGGTTTTGGCGAATTGGGGTTCCGTTAAAACGCCATGAAGGATCGCGCGGTTGAGGAGGGTGTATTGGTCGGGGGTTGGAATGGCTACGGAGAAAGGGGGTCTCAGAGATGGTTTCAGAGACTCGAAGGCTTCCCTCAGCGACGTTTCCAACGCGTTTTCGGCTTCGAAAGGTGGCGTGAGAGTGAGCCTCGACGCCATGGAAACCTCTTGCTCCGTCACTTCTCGGGGTCTTAAACCCAAACCCTCATTTGAATTTTACTAACGTTATAAATTTAAGGCTTTAATATTTTGTTTTTCAAGCAAATATGTATTTTTTTTTCTTCATTTAGTTATTTTATTTTGAATAAATTATTACTTTTTGTTGTTGTTGGGTTTAGTCTCTTATTTCTTACAAAAGTTAATAAAGTTTTTAAATTTTAAAGTGATTCAAGTTCTATTACATTTATCGCCAAAATAAACACATGGGGCATTTTTAAGTGTGAATGAATGGTTATTTAATTAAAATCAAACTACATTAGATTGGAAGATGTCATAAAAAGAAAAGGGTGGAGGAGAAGAATGAGTGGGGTGGTGGTGGTAAGATGAAGATCCAATTTGTGAATATTTAAAAGAATATATTTTCAAAAATCTTATTAACTTGTGCATAAAATTAATATTAACTTGTGCATGGAGATTACCGCGTAAATGTATTTTATTAAAATTAATATATGTTAATTGGGAAATCTTATTGGATCTGATTAAATATAAATTAAATGATGATTCAATCTAATCTCATTAAGAAAAAGAATCAAAATTATTTGGAGAAGACACACTAGCTAGTATACTACTTCATGCACCTTACCAAATTGTCTTTTTTATTCTCACCAAATTTATTTGTAAACTTATTTCATATAATTTGCTTATATTACTTTTAAAGTTTAGCTAGCAAGTCTTAAGAATACTTACAAAGGAAATAAAATTAATACAGATTAAAGAAAAGAAAAAGGTTTCAATTCTCATTTTGTTACACTTTATAAAACAATTAAGGCTATGTCAAAATTAGCTAAAAATCTAGTTGAGAGCTGAAATGGAAAAGTTAGATAAAAATTATTTATTTTACTATATAATACAGTGTTTGGTAAAATATAAAATGATGAATAAAAAAATTAATTTTAAACTTTTTAATTATATATTTATTAAAAAAATTAATTATATATTTTTATTTCAATTAATTTTTTTATTATGTAATCTATTCTTTTGGGTTTTATTTAAAATATTTTTCAATGAAATTTAATATAAAGTAAAAAAAATCATAATTTAGATACACATCATACTTTCATTATATTATTTATAATATATGATATAAAAAATATTATTTATTAATATCAATAATGTCTAAATAATAAACTAAACAATGTAATATAACAAGGTCTAAAAATAATAATTATTTATTATTATGAATAGCTTATGTAATAAAAAATAAAATAATAAAGTTTTACTTTTATGAGTGGAAGAAGAGAAGCAAATAAATAAATAAATAAATAAATAAATATGTTAAGCAATATATTTTGATATTGCACAAATGGATAGTAAACACATGTTTTATATTAAGATGAAATATATAAACACAGTTTTTACAGATATATTTTTAGGAAAATAATTATGTTTACATGAAACCGAAAAGACGTTAAATATTTTAATGTTTAGAATAAGATTTAAATTATTTAATTAAATTAACTAAAAAATTATCTGATATTAAGATTAAAAAAGATAATTGTCTCTTCATCATGTCTATTGACAATCTCAACAAGCCAAGAAAGACATAAACTTTAGGTTTTTTCTACACTCCAAACCGTCTATATAAACAAGTATTGGATGTAAAGTTGCTCCATAACTTGAATAGAACAATAGAAATAACAAAAAGGTAAGAGAAATATGGGTGCTTTCACTGAGAAGCAAGAGGCTTTGGTGCATAGTTCTTGGGAAGCTTTCAAGACAAACATTCCGCAATACAGTGCTGTGTTCTACACCTCGTAAGTCTTTTCTTTGGACATATATGTGTTTCTCATGCATTGTATATTAGAAGTAGATCAACAGTGTAGATGTTAATGTGAGTGTTTATGATTTTGGTTACTGAAAGGATACTGGAGAAAGCACCAGCAGCAAAGAACTTGTTCTCGTTTCTAGCTAATGGAGTAGACCCCAGTAACCCTAAGCTCACGGCCCATGCAGAAAAGCTTTTTGGATTGGTAAGTGTCTACCAAATTAAATCATACCTATTTCATCTCATAATTTCGTTATTTTTCTTTGATGAATATCTTATCATATATATGATGATAGTATTGATATTGTAGGTGCGTGATTCAGCTGCTCAACTTCGAGCAAATGGAGTAGTGGTGGCTGATGCTGCTCTTGGTTCCATCCACTCTCAGAAAGGAGTCACCGATCCTCAGTTTGTGGTATGATAAGTGATGAAATGTCACAGTAACTTCTTTTATCATGTACTGCAAAGGTCACTGATTATCAATTATGATTCTTCAATTCATTCTCCCCAATGATTTTTTCTTTCCGTGAGTCAGCTTGAATTCAATGTGTTTTCATTAGTGTATTGGTATTCATTACAGTGAACTTAACATTTTATAATTACAATGAAAAATGTGAGATACTAAGAGCTAAAGCATGGGTAATGAATTGCAGGTGGTAAAAGAAGCACTGCTGAAAACATTAAAGGAAGCAGTTGGAGACAAATGGAGTGCTGAATTAGGCAGTGCTTTGGAAGTAGCATACGATGAATTGGCAGCAGCTATTAAGAAGGCTTATGCTTAGGATCCATATATAGCCTTTATTTGTAATAAATAAAATTTGTTTCACTAAAACTTGTTATTAAACAAGTTCCCCATATAAATGTTGCTTAAATATAAGCCAATTATATTGTATTTGGGTAAAAGGACTTGATATATATTTCCATAAATTATATTTGTGATTCATAATTGATACGTAAACAAAAGAAATCATGTAAAAGCAATTTGAATGTGTTTATATTTGAGTTATATAATATGATATATAATAAAATAATTACTTTTTAAAAGACATTTGTAATCTAATTCGAATATATATTAATATTCATAATATAATATTTAAAATTAAAATAACATACAAAATGATTACAAATTATAAACTGAGTTGGGCGCATTGCTCAGGTAACATAGACTTTTTTTATTTGAAAATGATTTGATAAAGTTTTGAGAACATTGTCCTCTTCTTGAGGATGCCGATTGACACGCTCCACATATATACCAGAAGAGAAGAGAGACATTGAATTACAATCGCAAGAAATAAGTTTCATAGTTTTTCTCACTCTCCAAACCATCTATATATAAAGAGAACAATTGCATGTGAAATTATTGCATAGAAGAATAGAAAAGAAACAGAGAAAGAAAGATGAGTGGTTTCACTGAAAAACAAGAGGCCTTGGTTAATAGCTCATGGGAAGCATTCAAGGGAAACCTTTCTCAGCACAGTGTTACGTTCTTCAACGCGTAAGTTTTCACTCTTAATATACCTAAATTGGATACTCTCTAGTATTTCTTACTCCATGTTTTTCCTTTGTGGTTTGTTTATAAAAGGGTACTAGAAAAGGAACCAGAAGCAAAGAACATGTTCTCGTTTCTAGGTAATGGAGTAGATCCCAGTAATCCTAAGCTCGCCGAACATGCTGAAAAGCTTTTTGGATTGGTATATGTCTCCTATCCAACTAAAAATTATAGCTTTATTTTTTCTGCGTTTTTAAGATTAAACATGCATTTAATTAAAATATAACTATCTCCATCTGCAAATAATAGTATTTATAATTTTCCTTTCATTTGATGTTTTTTTAATGGTAGGTACGCGACTCAGCTATCCAACTTAAAACAAAAGGAGAAGTGGTGGCTGAAGCCAAACTTGGATCTATCCATGCTGAAAAAAAAGTGACCGATGCTCAGTTTGCGGTATGATGAATAAGAAATCATTCATACTTACTTGCGAATAACTTGATGAGACAATGAGAATATAAGAGCTAACCATGATTATTGATTGGTAGGTGGTGAAAGAAGCAGTGCTGAAAACAATAAAGGAAGCAGTTGGTGACAAATGGGATGAAGAATTGAACAGTGCTTGGGAAATAGCCTATGATGCAATGGCAGCAGCAATTAAGAAGGCAATGGCGTAGGCTCTCTATATATTCAGAGAAAGTCAATAAATTTTGTTTGCTCAAATTTTCTATTATGTCTTCATATAATAAATAATGTCAGTTACATCAAGTAGAACAATGTATTGTAGTCGGAGAAACAATCTTAATTAATTTCTCTTTTGCTCAGGCTTATGTCATACTTTCCACTTATATATTAAAAAAAAATGTATTTGTTTTAAAACCATTTCAATAAGCTATTATCTACACTACAAACAAAACAATAAATAATGATAGAAAATTCAGTTATTAAATAACCGAAATCGATCACTAACCCAAAACAGTGATCAATTCGAATTGGTCACATTTTTTTTATTGATGATTTCAACAACCGAATCAGTAATCAAATTAATTATCGATTATGTGATTGAAACAGTAATTGATTATGTGATCGAATTAATGACCAAATCAATCACCAATTCTATGACTGAATTAGTGACCGAATCAATGATTAAATCAATTATTGATTTTGTGATTGAATTAGTGACTAATTCTGTGATCGATTATATGACCGAATATATGACAGAATCGGTCATTAATTTTATTTTTTATATTATTTTTAAAATAATAATAAACCTAATTAAGGAATATGAAATACATTATATATTGTATTAAATATATCGAATTACACTATCTGAGATAACTATCACAATAATATCACAAATTTTGTTCCAAATAAATTTATCATGGATTAAATAGTTTTTTGCATATTGAAAATTCAATCTAAAAGTAAGTAGAATAAGCTAAAGTAAGAGTCATAATTCTAGAGATGCCGAAACTAACAAAACAAATAGAATATAAGTATTAGTTCACGGTTCAGGAGGTTGAACATCCATCTTCTCCATCAAGAGGTTAAAAAAATATCTCTTTATTACTCTATATAATATCTATCAAAAAATTATTACTAATATTTTTTTCAACTTATTTCTTCTATTTATTTATTTTAAACTAAACAAATTGTTACTATTAAAGATTGTAGTTAAATAAAAAAATGTTATCGACAAGGTTGATGAATAAAATGATAATATGATTGTAAAAAAAGAGAGTAAAATTAAAGAACCATACAGAGGTCATTAATGAAGGCATTATATAAATGTTTAAAGTAGAAAGGTTGTGGGTTTCATAAAAGTACCATTATAAGATGATGGTAAAAGCACAATGGTTCATCATTCTCCATTGTCTATTATGGCATCAACTATAGGCACGAAAGCCACGAAAGGAACTACTAAATGAGCAATATTGCAGTTGCGATTTTCCTAAACTCATGCATGAACTCTGACTTTTGAATCTGACAAGTTATATATTATAAGAGAGCTCATTACTACAAAATATATTTTTCATGTCGTCATTTAACGTCGGTTAAAGTTGAGGTGAATTTCAACGTTGGTCGATTAAAAAATGACATTGAAAGTTGAACACATTTTATGTTGATTTTTAATTAACTGATGTAGAAAATACTTTCACGTTGGTTCCCAGACGAACCGACGTAAAAAGTCTTTTTATTGACATATTCAACGTCGGTTCTGATTGTAACCGATGTAGAAAGTGTTTTAATTTTTTTTTTTCAGCCAAAAGTTCGCCTAACTTAGAGAATTGTCACTGGCAAAATTCAAACCCAATATCTTAGAATTGGAGATTGATACTCCAACCACTAAACTACTAGAATTTTTTAATAATAACGTCGGTTCTGATTGTAACTGATGTAGAAAATGTTTTAATTTTTTTTTTCAGCCAAAAATTCGCTTAAGTTAGAGAATTATCACTGGTAAAATTTGAACCCAGTATCTTAGAATTGAAGATTGATACTCCAACCACTTTTCAGTCAAAAATTCGCTTAAGTTAAAGAATTGTAATTGATAAAATTCAAACTCAGTATCTTAGAATTGGAGATTGATACTCAAACCACTAAACTACTAAAATTTTCTAATTTTTTAGCCAAAAATTCACTTAAGTTAGAAGTTAGAGAATTGTCACTGAAAAATTCAAACTCGGTATCTTAGAATTGGAGATTGATACTCCAACTACTAAACTCTAAAATTTTCTAATTTTTTAGCCAAAAATTTGCTTAAGTCGGAGAATTGTCACTCGCAAAATTCGAACCTAATATCTTAGAATTAGAGATTGATACTCTAACCACTAAACTACTAAAATTTTCTAATAATAACTTACAAATAAATTATATTTATATATAAATAAATATATATCCGTTTAAATATATAAATATAAAATATATAAATACAAATATATTTATAAATTTTGATATATTTATATATATTTATATGTTGGATGTGAGGGCGCACTTGAGGGTGAAAGTGAGATTGACTCTCGCTGAAATGAAAATATATGAATGCTCACGAAAATTCATTCGCTCAAGCGAAAATATCTCGTTTGAGCTGAAAATTGATATTTTTTACTTGAGCGAATGATGCGTTTTCCAAATTTATTTTATATCATTATATAAATTAATTATAAAGATTATATTCTATCATTAAATTACAAACTCATTTAAAGATACCCGCTCACAAATTTGACATCAAATTTTGAAAAATCACTCGACACACACTTTTACCTTCGAACATGTCCTCACATCCAACATATAAATATCAAAATATATAAATATATCAAAATATATAAATATATTTGTATTTATATATTTTATATTTATATATTTACACGGATATATATTTATTTGTACATAAATATAATTTATTTGTAAGTTATTATTAGAAAATTCTAGTAGTTTAGTGGTTGGAGTATCAGCATTCAACTTTAAAAAATTTGAGAGGTTAATAATTAATAAAATATAATTATTTATTAATTAAATAAATTTTTAAAATTAAATTAAATAATAAAGTAACTGAAATAGTAATTTGATTACTAATTTAGTTATTATTTCAGTTATTAAACTAAAAAATAATAATTTGATTATTAATTTAGTCATTAGTAACTAAATTATTAGATTATTAGACATTTTTTTAGTACGTGCCCAAAAATTCAATTTGTGCATCTTTATTTAAACCCTAAAGTGAGTGATAAGGTTGTGTCACCGTTGGATCTGGAAAATGAATTGCTATGAAAATATGGAGTTTCATTCTGGTTCGCTTGTGTTGGAGGTGTTGGAAGGAGAAACAAACTTTCCTCCGAATATTTTTTGTATAATTGTAACCTATTTCGCACGACCTCACACATGAAGGGGTTGCGAAATGCAGCGTGGATGCGTGAGGATTTGAGTCACTACGATAATGTGGTGTGAGATTGACTAAAATAAAATACTTGCATGAAAATATTATTGGGTTCAATAAAACCTGATCTTAATTCGCAGTATAAGTTTATTTCTTTTATTTTATTTTAACGTATTTTACATTTGTTATAAGATATTTATATTATTAGAAGTCCAACATGCTCTTTTGACAATAATAGAAGGAGTATTGGTCCAAGGGGACGAATTATATTAGACTATTTTATATATTATCAATTAATTGTATGTTAGAATCTTAATTCATACATAATATTTTTAAATAATAATAATAATAATAATAATAATAATAATATAACAACAATAACATCATATTATTATTATTATTATTTTGTAATTAGGATATAAAGTTGATATGTTTAACAAGAGTGAGTATGAAAATATCTTTATATATATATATATATATATATATATATATATATATATATAATAGAAATTAATATACTCTTTGATAATGTATATTGTAGTTGGATTTGAAGAGTAGGGGTGTTCCAATTTCCAAAGCTCAACCATTAGAAGCTTGAGAAGCCAAGCCAGTCTCAAACGCCATCCACCACCAGAATTGCCTTTCTAAATCTTCAACAAATGATTCTGTAATTTTATATAATTTAGGTAAATTACTTTAGTTACAAGTTACCACACAATTTTAATTTTTATTGAAAAGAAAAAGGTTAAGAGAAAAAAAATTCTTAATTGCACCTGTTCAACGATCTAGGCGAGTTCAATTATCTATCTCAAATTAGAGTAAATATTTAATTTTCAAATTAAAATAAAAAACAGTTTTAGTGTCTTAAATTTAATATTTATGAATTTAAAATTATTATGAAAAAATTTAATTCCTCAATTTTAATGTATGATAGGAATATAAATAAGTCCGTTTATGCTATGTATTATATATATATATATATATATATATATATATATATATATATATATAATATTTTGTAATAAAATTATTAAGTAGGATATAAAATTATCTTTCAATTATTTTAAAAGTTTTAGTTTTATTTTGTCAACATTGTTGAAAGATATATCAATTGTTTTAATAATCGAATCGTAATGTTTAAATTATTATCTTAATTAAAAATAATTATACGATGAATATTTTTCAAAGAGGATCTTCATATCTTTAGATTTTATTTTTCTTTACATATATGAATTTATTTTTATATAATACTTAATTTTTTAAATATATATTTTATATATTTATCACTTCAAATTTTGTTGGCAATCTCAAAATGTTTAATCAATACCCTCGAATTAATTTTATGACTTTTCACGTAAGGATAAGTGTTTGATAACAATGTTTATCAATTGATGTAGAATTCAACATTAACTAGTTTTATTCATATTTTGAGGATTAATTAGTTCAATTCATATTAATATAATTGAGTTTAAATAAATAATTTAAATAAAAAATCTCTCCTATCCACACTTTATTGTGCATCATTTCTTTCTAGTATTCCGTGCCTCTATCTTACTATTTTAGGTCTTTTACATAAAGAAAACAAATAAATGATTTTTCAACACTAAAAGAGTATATGTTTTTATTTCATAAACATAAAGAGTTAAACGATTTAAATTATTAATGTATTTAATGATATTAATTATAATTCAAATAAATATTTTAATATCCACTAGTATGACTTATAAATACTATTAATAAGACAATAAGTGGATACATTTGGCATTTGCACGAGAAATAAGTATGTCGTTACAATTTATG